CATTATTCGTCGTCGTTGTGGTCGTCGTAGCAGTAGCAGTAGTAGTAGTAGTAGTAGTAGTAGTAGTGGTGGTAGTGGTAGTAGTAGTAGAAGAAGAAGAAGTAGTAGTAGTAGTAGTTGTTGTTGTGGTGGTGGTGGTTCTAGTAGTAGTAGTAGTAGTTGTTGTGGTAGTAGTAGAAGTAGAAGAAGTCGTAGTAGTAGTAGTCGTCGTCGTCGTCGTAGCGGTAGTAGTAGTAGTAGTAGTAGTAGTAGTAGTAGTAGTAGTAGTAGTAGTGGTAGTAGTGGTAGTAGTGGTAGTAGTGGTAGTAGTAGTTGTTGTTGTTGTTGTTGTTGTTGTTGTGGTAGTAGTAGTAGAAGTAGAAGTAGAAGTAGAAGTAGAAGTAGAAGTAGAAGTAGTAGTAGTAGTAGTAGTAGTTGTTGTTGTTGTTGTTCTTGTTGTGGTGGTGGTAGTAGTAGTCGAAGCAGTTGTAGGAGTAGTAGGACGACCAGCAGCAGCAGTAGGAGCAGAAGTGATCGTTGTCGTGGAGGCAGGCCTCACCTGAAGCAGCTCGCTTTAACTTCACATCTAGAATCTACAATGCCTCAACAAGCGGAATTGCCAACCACGCACGGAAGCCCAAGCTCGAACCGTCCAAGCTCCAACCCGAAGAGAGACCCGAATCTGCAACATCTGTCCGAATCAGGAGATTCGCATCTTCGCGCTCGTTCCAAGCTCCAGAATTGGGAAGAGGTCTGTCAAATAGTCACCTTACCGTCCGGATAGTTTGGGGAAAAGGCTTTAGGCCTAGTCCCAGACTAAGCCAGAATCACGCGTAGCAGCCCAGGTTGTATGGTCACGATTGCAGGGTGCGTGCTGTGAGCCCTACAGATGCCTTCCTTCTTTTCTGGGTCTGCCTTTCTTGGTCACACTACTCACTTGGCTAAGCAGCAAAACTCCCATGAAAGGCTCAACTTGCGTTTCGCGAGACGTGTACCTATAGTTTCCAGTGTAGTTGCTTTTTGGGTTACTTTTTGGGATCCTAATTGTAAAGTTGGTTACAGCGAACCCCAGAAAGTGGGAACATGGAATTAGGATGATTTGTGCTAGGATCCCTTATACTTTACCTTACGGGCACGAGGATTACGATGTTCCAACTGTACGGCTGCCACTATAAACCAAAACAAGGAACTGCAATGGAGACTATAGGTATGATCAAGGTTTGTACTTCAGGAAACGGGCTGCGTTCAACTGTAGGCTTGGAGCCTGCGGAAAGATTCAACGGACCAGCCCCGCTGTTGCAAGGAGGCTGACATTGCTGGCTTAAGTGGACACGATGTTCGAGAAGCGCATGCAGCACAACCAGAATGAAGAGGCGGCCCTAATCGAGTGTATGCCATGTTGCACAACATCTGACATCCTCAAAGCAAAGATGTGAACAAATGTTTCCACATACCATTTCGTTCGGGTTGCTGGGGGGTCGCCTGTGCACGGGAGAGAGTCGTACATACATAAACACGACGAATCCGATGAGATCAACAAGTGCGCAAAACATCCTGCAGCAGCACAGCGGGACGCCTTAATCCGAGATCGCCAGACGCCGCCTACAACTCTGAACCCAAACCCCAAAACACTTAAAGCCGACTCTTCTCAAACCCAATTCATACTAATGTGAGCTAGAGGGGAAAATGACCGCATCTCTCCCTTTAGTGTGTGTGTGTTTACTTATATACATATATATGTATGTATTATGTATATATATATATATATGGGTATATATGCATACACACACACTCTCTCTCTCTCTCTCTCGCAATCCTGGTAGCAAGGAAGAGGCTCGTGCGATTGCATGGTTCTCAGTTTCCGACCCTGATCCCAGTCTTCGACTCGCCTATGGACGATGACAATAAAGGTCACTCCTTTAGGGTTTAGGGTTAGGGTTAGGGCTTAGGGTTTAGGGCTTACCTTGACAGGGCGCGGAGCACATTGCCCGTCACAGTGATCGTGTCGAGTCCCTGCCGCGCCCTTGCGAGCGTGAACTTCATGGCCTGCCGGGCAAATCCCGAAATAAGGCCTGTAGGCTGTATAGGGCGTCGGGGTACGAGGACACCGGATACGTCATGATATCGGGTCTATAGTTCGGTTGAAGGCCGATAGGGCTTTACTGGCATGCTCTGCTATGGGTGTACAGGCATATGGTTTGAAAGCCAGATCCGGCGATTTCAATCTGGGGATCGATTGCTCGAGCGGAGGCCGTTGCGACAAGAGCCATTTCGATTCAAGTTACTGGAATACTCGTTGCAATGCGTCGCTTCCAACTCTGATAGTAGAAGCACGACACGATGGACAAGACATGCGCTGAAGAGCCACGTGATAGGCAAGCCACGCAGTGTTTGCACTCGAGCTGCCTCAGAAGCCCAGTTATCCGTATAATAGGTAACCCTCTTTGGACCCTGTTTAACGGCTTGCCTTAAGCTACCAAAACCTACTTTTGCGTAGGTTGCTTATAAATTCCATATTAGGGTTTATAGTAAGAACGTACAAAAACTTAGGTTATGGTAGCTTCAGGTAGTAATTCACACACCATAGTCTCCATTGTAGTTCCTTTTCGGGTATACCTTATAAAAAAATCCTTAATATATAGTTGGTTGAACCAAAAACAGGCACTACAATGGAGACTATAGGTAAACCCCAAATCCTGAACCCAAAGCTATTAGGGTCTATAATAAGAACCTACAAGTTTTTTTAGGTTATGGTAGCTTAAAGTAGTAATTACTTAAAGGGTCATGGGACTTAGTAAGTAGGGTTATAACTAAGGTAACTATACTTATAACCCTAATTAGTGGACTTATAACCTTACTTACTACGTCCCATGATCCTCGAAGTAACACACCATATTGGGATTCTGGCTGGCGATTCTGTCCTTGCCTCTTCGGGCGAGAGGATTTGGATGTCCAGACCTGCCGCGACGGCCCGGGACGGCTCTGCTACTGCAGGGGCTTAGGGTTTAGGGTTTAGGGTTTAGGGTTACCTATAGTCTCCATTGTAGTTCCTTTTTTAGGGGCCTTAGTAATTAAAATTTGGTTTTGGGGTCCTTCGTAGCTCAGAGTTTTGGGGGGCTTTTCGGGCTTTGGGTTCAGGGTTTGGGCTTTACCTATGAGTCTCCATTGTAGTTCTTTTTTTTGGTTTAACCAATTTTATACTGAGGATCCTAAATGGTATATAACCCCCAAAAGGAACTACAATGGAGACTATAGATAGTACTTAAAATACGGTTTTGGGGTCCTTCCTAGTATTAATATGATTAAGGAGCCCCCCCAAAATAATATAGGTAATTGCTGAGGCCCCTCTTTTATCCTGCAGGGGTGTGAAGACGTGCGAGTCTGGGGCAGTTTTGGATGTAGGGTTTCGGGCTTTAGAGTAATATAAAGGCCTGAATACTTACCTATCCTTTTTTGGGGGGCTCCTTATTATAATTACAGTATAATGGGCCCCAAAACACTATTCTAATTATTAAGCCCCTTAAATCATAGAACCCTTATAGTAGCCCTCATAGAACCAACCATTTAGGACCCTTAAAGGAACCCCCAAGGCGGGGGGGGGGGCTTTCGCAGCGCCGCATTCCGAACAAAGAACCGGGACCTCTGCAAACGGGTTTAGGGTTTTAGGGTTTAGGGTTTAGGGGTTTAGGGTTTAGGGGTTTAGGGGTTTAAGGGTTTAGGGTTTGGGGGTTTAGGGGTTTAGGAGTTTAGGGCCCTATTTGGGTACTTTAGGGCCAAAGTCTCTACTGTTTGGGTACATGGAAGGGCTTGGTACAGGCATCCTAAATTCTTCTCAGCTTCGCTAAGCTGGCTGTGCTAGCTACCCGACGGTTTAGGGTTTAGGGTTTAGGGGCCGTTCTCCGAGCCTGTCAGAAAGCAGCGCCATTGCAAGCTTCCAGTCAGTGAGGCGCTTGGGTTCGGAAACATCAGCACTACCCCTACCAAAACCTACTTTTTTGCAGGTTCTTACTATAAACCCTAATAGGGAATTTATAGGGATCCTACAAAAAAGTAGGTTTTGGTAGGTTAAGGTATAGAAGCAATGAGTCGAGAGCCGGTTCATCAGGTTTAGGGCTTAGGGCCAAGGCCTTTCCATTCATTGTATGCAATACGCTGATGTATAATAGCTGAACAGATACACACAATCAATCAGCATCCCACCTTCAGTGTCGTGCCGCTCCAAGTATTTCTTGACCTCCAGGCATGGCATGAATGTCTTCAGAGGACGATCCGTATCCGTTGATTTGGCGAGCCCTGAGACACTTTCGACTGCAGACCTGATATTTTGACTTCAATTCTTCTGGCAGAACTTCTTAGAATTCCCAGCTCCATCATCCTCCAGCCAAGCCACCTAACAGCTCTTAGGGCTTCAACTCTAAACCCTGCAGACCTAAAACCCCAAAGCCCCAAACCTTAGGCCATCAACCATCGCCTACACCCAATTGCAAAACACCTTCTCGGGGCCGGTGCTACCTTCGACAGCCCTATACATAGATTAAATCCGCATACTGCAGGGGCCTTACTGTAATAATTAGAATAGGGTTTCGGGGTATATGATACTATATACTTACAATAAGGAACCCCCAAAATAGTATCCGTAGTTAGTGAGGCCCCTATATAATCCTTTCCAGGGCATGGAGTGTCACTGTACGGTCCAGGATCAAGGGTAGAACTGGACCTTAGACTGCACTTCAAGGCATGCATGAAACCCCCGCAGTGCGAATTCTTGCAGTTTGATAACGCCGCCACCGCGTCTCAACCGGAAAAGGCCCGCCCGACACAGGTGGACCTTGGAGATCACGCTGCGGTCATGAGCGCGCTGCTCGGTCAGCCAGAACACAGCGGGCCTTGCGCAGCACAAGCCGACAGACTCAGGACTGATCCCTGAAACAGGGTGCTATATATATATATAATATAATATATAAATATAAATAAATGTATATATATATATATATACCTTAATGATTAGAACAAGGCTTTTGGGTGGGTTACACTATGATGAAAGGCGTCCTCTGCGAATCATATTACAATATACTCATCCCATAGGCCCCATAGTAGTTCCTTTTGGGGTTACGTTATAGGGTTCTATATATGAACCCCAACAAGGAACTACTTTAGGGCCTATGGGATATAATCTCATATCCTATGGAGTGTGCACAGCGGCTGGGCAGGGCTGCAGAGCTGGTGTCACCAATGCACGTTGCTGCAGCTTCTGCGAAAACCCCCAAGCAACAAGTCACGATCGTTGAAGCAGAGCCAAAACCACGTGTGCCATACCCCTCAACCTTGGGTCTATTAGTCTATATCTGAGGGCTCCAGACGATGCGAAACGATGCCGACCGAGAGGCACGCCAGTGGCCCGAGCCCGAACCACCGCGAGCTTCACCCAGTCCTGGATTGGTCCGTCCTTCGTCTGGCCTCAGGAAAGGGGTCGAACATGTCGGCTTCGTAAGAGTGTGGATTTCGGGGTTTGGCTTGTTAGGGATTTGATGGTTTTGGCGGCCGGGGAGGGGTGGGGTGTTGGGGCTGCGCTTTCAAGGCCTGTAAGCCTAGGTGCATGGGGTTTCTGGATTGGAATTCTCCAGTTCTGCTGCCTTGAAAGAGGCTGAGGCTGAGGGCCTGCAACAGCAGGCTGATGGATACCCAGAGCGGTGATCAGAGATTTGAAGCACCTGATGGCTTGTTCTAGACTTGGCCAGAGATGGTAAATCAAGCTGCAATTGCCAAGAACACGCAGTGAAAGGGGGCTGTATGTGAGAACCTCGTCAAATGAAGCGCCGACCATGGCCCCTCTGATCCTCCACTTGGAGGATCAGAGGGGGTTTAGGGTTTAGGGTTTAGGGTTTAGGGTTTAGGGTTTAGGGTTGGAATTGCGGTCACCTTCCCCAAATCCCACCTAGCCCCTGAATAATTAGTCGCCTGATCCGACAAGCAAGGTGGCAGCCCTAAATTCTTTAACCCCAAACCCTTTAACCTAAAGCATCTACGCCTAGACCTATAAACCCTAAACCCTCATCGACCCTCGAAGTGGTGCACTGGAGAGCTCAGGGTGCAACACATGCGCCACACGTCGCCCTTGGCCACGTCGTGAGACATGAGGACCTGCCGGTGACATTGCTAGGGTAACTAGAACTCTCTTACAATGTGCTTGTGGAATAATGGTAGAACTCTGCAACGATGATTTTGAAGCTTGTTGCCCTACTTGATTCTGAAGGTAAGTTTCGGGTTTACGCTCCGCTTAGGATGCAGCTCCTGTCCCTAAGCATCTTAGATTGCGCCAATGGCTGGCCACGACAACCCCCCTCTCACGCGGCAGGATGCATAATAAACCCATTGACACAGCTTCCTCGCCTGCTGCTAGCTAAACTAAACTCACCCCCGCACCAGGTCCAACACTTCCTGAATCAGCATAAATACCTAGAAGCCCTAATGTAGGGCCTTAATACTTAGAATAGGGTTTTGGGGTCCATTCTACTATAATGATATTATAATAAGGAACCCCCCAAAAATAGTGTAGGAAATTTTTTCGGCCCCTATATTACCCCAGTTTTTTCCCAACAGCCTCGTGCTCGACTCCCGCACCAATACTCCGAAGCTCAAACTGACAATATGTCCTAAATTACCTATAGAATCTCCGTTGTAGTTCCTTTGTTTGCTTTAACCAAGTATATACCAAGGATTTCATAAGGTATCCCCAAAAAGGAACTACAATGGAGACTATAGGCACCATAACTTGATCTTTTCTGTGGGCCATCGTACAAGTATAATGACTTGTAGTGGGCCGTAAACATTCGACAGTGTGAATAGGCTTCAGACTCTCCAAAGAGATGCTTGAATAATGTTCAGAATCATTGAGTTACAGTCCTCACACACTCAGACTATGCGGCAACCCCCAAATCTATTCTAACTACTGCGATGCACTGCCACCCTCCCGCCCAGCTGTTTAATCTAAAGGCCCGATATGCCATCATCAGCTGCAAACTGTTTGACCTCCTCGGTGTCGCGCTTGATGACACGCATCTGACCATCCTGAAGCGAAAACACACTAACACACTGTACCCTAAGGCTCAAAACAGCCCAAAACCCTTTCATAGTAGAGTCTTAAGGGGCCCAAAAGCCTTGAACTATGAGTCCTTAGCGCCTTACGGGTAGACTTAAAGGTTTCTATGGTCTCATGAAAAGGTTATAAGGTTGAAAAGAGGGGGTTGATACGGTTCCATATGGTCTTTGTCGGGTTTGTGTACACTTGATACATGTCTTTATGGGCTTATGGGTGAGCAACCGAGGGTTCAATCTGAGAGTTTACGGTAGTTTTATCTGCTGAAAAGGCTTTTACATAGTTCTACAAAGCTCTTGGAACCTTGACTACCCCAATCTTGAAGAGCCTTTACGTGAGGTCATTAAGCGGAAATTCGCTTAATATAGGGGCCTTAATAATGAGAGTAGGGTTTGGGGTATCTTACACTAAACTTATAATAAGTATATAAGGAACCCCCCAAACCCTATTCAGAGTATTAAGGCCCCTACATCAGGGCTGACGGTTGGGGAACCTTGGGGGCCTTTGGACACGCGGTGTTCTGCTGCCTCTGGCACCACGAAGGTCTTGTCGTGCGATCCATACTCCTCCGCCTGGTGCATCTGCGTTTAGGGTTTAGGGTTTAGGGCACCAGAGACCGCAGAAAAACATCAAAGACAGGAGCATCCCAGGTTGTAAAGACAACCCCGTCCTCTTTTGTACACGAGCATCCCAGGCTATGACGACAATCCGTCCTTTTTTTGTTAGTACAACTTTAACCCCAAATAGCCTACCTTTTTAAGGACTATACTAATATAGAGAAATCATAATAAGAAACCCAAAAAAGGTAGGTTCTTTAGGGTCCAGGAAGAGACTGCGACTGTTCTCCACTCCTCTTGGGAGCAGCAAAGTCATTGAGGCGGGTCTTCAACGCAGAAAGCCTTACACTTTCTACCCCAACTTTTAAAGTGTAGGGTTTCGGGTTCAGGGACCCTAATGAAACCTCATAAGCCTTTAAGCACAATACCCCTTTCAGAGGTAGGTTATTTGGGGATAAGGAAAGGGCCCAAGAATGAAACCTGTACAATAAGGGGCTTGGGGCGGAGCCTAGGGCTGAAAAAATGTGATGACGGTTTGGGGTTTAGGGAATAGGGCTTAAAGGGTTTAGGGTTTGGGGTTTAGGGTTTAAGGGTTTAGGGTGTAGGCTTTAGGGTTTTAGGGTTTAGTGTTTAGGGCTTAGGGCTTAAAGGTTTAGGGCTTTCCTGGAAAATTTGTACAGAGGACGAAAAGGGAAATTACTATGAACGCGAGCTGAATCGCAATCAGGAACTGCCCGCCGTTTTTTTCGAGCAGGGTTTAAAAGGCCCATGTCCTTAAACCGCCATCTTTTCCAGAGCTGAAAGCACTGAGCCCTTGGAAGCTATAACCCCTAAACCCTAAACCCCAAACCCTAGACCCTAACTAAACCCCTAAACCCTAACCCCGAAACCTTAAACCCCTAAACCCTAACTAAACCCCTAAACCCCTAAACCCCTAAACCCGACACCCTAAACCCCTAACCCCTAAACCCCTAAACCCCTAAACCCGAAAACCCAAAACCCCAAAACC